TGAAACACTACTCAGCAATAAAACAAACTACTGATGTATGCCACAACATGGAGGAATCTCAGGAACGTTATGCTAAATGAAGGACATCAGAAAAGACTACATACTATGTAGGAAATGGTAGAAAAAGCAAAGCTATAAGGACAGAAAGCAGATGAGTTACTGCCAGCGTCTAGGGGTAAGAGGAAGGCATTGACTAGAGAGGGGCACAAGGGTCCTTTTTGGGGTGATGGAACTGTTCTACCTCATTATTTCCATGGTGCTTATGTGTACAGTTGTCAACATACATCAAATTGTACACTTAAAATTGGTGGCTTTTATTCAGTGTAAATTATACCACAAATTTAAAAACAAACTTAGGGCAGCATCTTGAATGCCTTACAAAGTGACTACTTCATTTGGGGAAATAATCATTTTTAAACTTGGAGAGCCTATTTTTAACAAGATACTAGCAGTATTTATTTTTATGCTGAATATATGTAAAATTTTGACCCCTAAAATGTGTTTGTATAGAAAATGGTAAATGGTCGGCTTACTTGAATATCTCATTGCATTTTTGCTTTCTCTTTACTTCTCTGCCCAACCTAGAAAAACTAATCGAGGGACTCAAATCTCCTGACACTTCTCTTCTGCTCCCTGACCTCTTGCCTATGACAGATCCTTTTGGTAGCACTTCTGATGCTGTAATTGGTAAAGTCATCATCTCTGTTTCTTCAGTCATGCATGATATGTGTGTCTGTTTCAAAAATGGCAACTAACTGGTTAACAGATCCCTACTGAGTATAGCCCTGCTGAGGAGCGGAAATGCCACGAAGCCTCCTGGTGTTGGAGTGATGCCTTGTGCTAACGCAGAAGCCAGGGCTGTTTAATCTCCCTTGTTATCGCCCCAAACGAAGTGTTATCTCTGCCTTTCAGCAGCACAGCGCCGTTATTTATTCTTGAAACACTGAGATTTCTAGAGTGAATCTCTTGTGAACTAAGGGGAATGTGGAAAAATTCACATTTCGTTACAAAAGCTTCATGAGAAAAGTTGGTTTCCAGGTGGACTTCACCTTTAGTAGATTCTTCTTTCGAAGGCCTCCGTATGTGCCAAGTGTCAGTAACTGAGAAAACATTTGCCCCACGTTGAGGCCCTATGAGTAGAATCCGGGGCAGGGGCTTGATCTGCTTGCTTTGACATTTTCTTGTGCTCCAGCCGCAAGGCAGGCAAGACCTATAAAATGTCCGGGGCCCCTGTACTACAGGAGCACAAAGTCCTAGAACTCAGAAATGCTACAACCCTTCAGAGAGATGTTCCTCCAGCTGGGGCATGTCACATGGTAAAGAGTACCTCCAGCTACAGCACGGCATGGGATTTGAGGTGGACTAGTGGCCTTTGCAAGGCACAGAGCATGTTTGGCCCCAAGTTTATCCCTTAAGAAAAGCACAATTACCAGAAGACATTAAGGTGCCTTTGAGCCTATGTCTTCTGACACGTAAGAGGTCTGCTTGAATAGCTCGCATTCAGCATTTATCTGTAAAAACTGAGAATCACCGAGACTAGCCACCGTGGTTCACCTTGCACGTGCCTGCTCTGTCAGTGAAGCCCAGACACTCGAAGCAGCAGAAAGAAAGCAACTTACTGTGCTTTCCATCTTACCTGAGATGGGCATTTTAGAGACATGCAGCAGAAAGCCTTCACAGAATCATCCAAGGAACCTTCTGATTACCTTTCCCTTACCCTTTCCTCTCCTCTCTTAATGCTCTGTTACAAAAGAAAAAGCTGATGTTGCTGTTGAGAGTCTGATACCAGGACTGGAGCCCCCGGCGGCCCAGCGCCTCCCCTCTCAGACGGAATCTGTGACCTCAAACCGCACAGGTCAGTCAGGAGTCTCTGGGGCTGCAGGAACTGGTCAGTTCGGGGAGCCTTCTGAGTCAGGCTTTCCACCTGCGGCAGATGGTCCTGGGCTTATTTCACAGCCTGGCTCGTTCCTCCTGGAATGGGTGCTCTGCACTACAGCCCCAGCTTTAGACGTTGAGCAATGTGTTTCCTCACTGAAGAGTAGAGTACCTTTTTGGAGCCATGTTCTTTGTAGAGCGATACCTGGGCTTTCTTTGATTTCAGTCTGTCTGTTATGTCTGTTATTGAAGATTTTTGTCACTGGTGGCAGGTTCCCTCTACTTCCTTAATTAAAGAACTCTGCCGAGTTGTAAGGATGCCCTTAACTCCTCCTGGGTACTGAGCAGTCTTTTGGATCTAACAATGTCAGTGATGTCCATGGGGGCTCGTGTTATGTGTGTTAACATTCTATTCCCAGCACAGAGCTTTAATCACATCTAGGTGATTTGCTATTAAATTGTAGGCAAAGTTGAAATCTTCCCTGGATCCATTCCTTAACTACATTTCCTTAAATACAGATTTGATAACCTTCATTTTTATTGAGTTCATAATTACCTTGATAAAAGTGTCCACTTTGCTCACTTGGAACAGAAACAATTAGAAGTCTAGGAAATATGAGAATAAACTCACCCAGGTTAAAAAAAAAATGACACAGAAGACAATATGGTTCTTTTTCCTTGTGCTTACTTGGCTGCTTTCTCCCAGAAAACTCTCCCAGAAAACAATTTATGTGTTGAAATACTTGAACTCTGAATTTAATCTTCCTTCTGTTCCTTAACTAAAAGCAAAATCATGTGTTCCAAGGAGCAATTCAGATTTAAAGAATACTAATAAGAGACAAGATCATTCTATTTTGAATGAGGATTGGGTTGAGTTCTAAAAAAGTACTGCCTAATCATGCCATATTCTGCTAATAATAAGCCAGGGACCACCCCCTTCTTGTCAGCTTGGATACCTCATCTTATAGCAACTTTTTTCAGTGAATGTTTAGGGAAAGTTTAAGTGAAACTCTTTAGTTGCAAAGTCCTTTTTCCCAAATGGCATTTGCTGAGAACTGAGTTGCCAAAGTTTTATTGACATCCAAACCATTTACTTGCTTAACCAGCAACCTCTGAGCAAAAAAATTCTTCCATATTTATATATATCTGTTAAGAGAAGTTTAGAAATACATGTTTGTCTAGATGAAAGTACAGGGTGCTTAACGGGTTTCTTTTGGTTTTCCTTCTCCCGCCTTGGCTTGTAGGTATAATGTATTGGGTTGGCCAAAAAGTTCGTTCGGGTTTTCCGTAAGCGCGTACAAAAACCCGAACGAACTTTTTGGCCAACCCAATAAACGCAGTAACTTAAAGGCTAAGACCTAACCTCGTGATATTGTTGTGTGTGCCATTTAATGCCATCACTGACCTGGGATGCTGTTAATCGGGACTCAGATTCTCTCACCGGGGAAGATTCCCTGATTGATGGCTCTCTGCTTTCTAACCCTACTACTGACCTTCTGGAAGAATTTGCCCCCATAGCGATCTCTGCTCCGGCCCATAAAGGTAAATGCTTTCCTCTTCTTGGGCCCACATGTATCCTTAGAGGAGAAAAACTGAGCAACTCCTGAGAATTTTCCTTGACAAAAGGCTTTGCTAGTGAAGTTTTTTAACCACCTCCTTAAGTGGAAAACTTGAGTTTGTACCCTTAGCCCCTGTGTTAAAGTTCCTCTCAGTAAGAATATTGAATCAGGCTGGGACAACAGACTGTGGAGATGTTGCTTTCTGGCAGTCACCTGGAATGCAGATATTCCATGCTTTCTATTAAAGACAGAGCTACATACCTTGGCAGTCAGCTCAGGGTTGAGTTGACTGTCCACTAACTGACTATAATTAGATATTTGTTGGCCTTAGAACTTAAAACTGTTTCATTAAATCAGATTTAAAGTTTTTTGATAGTGATCACTACAATAAAGAAAAAAGCATCATTCTTCAAAAGTCAGTCTCAAAGATTGAACTCGTAAAAGTTTTGAATTTTAGTTAACCTTTGAGTCATGATTAATTACTGGATTTCTCTTTCTAATCTACTGTTTCCATTTCTTAGTCTTGGGTTAATACTGGTTTGAAATTCTGAGGGACAGAGGTACCTTGAATTGAGTGCTATTCAGTGAGTAGTTCGTGAGAGTGACAGGCACTATGCCTGGCTTACCGTAGGCAGGCATTCACTAAACTTTCTGGGCCTAGATAGTGAACGTGGTTTTCTGGAAGGAGCAAATACATATTAAAGGAACCGCTTGTAAGTCCTTTCTGAAGGAAATTTAGGAAGGAAGCCTCCCTGAGATGACTAAAAAATAATTAGCCTTTGGTTTGCAATGGTAATAGCTGAGTTTTTGTTTTTACCCTTAATAGCATTAAAATGACCATGTTTTTATAGAGCATGTAGAAAGAAGTCACCTATTTAGCCAATTATGTCTGACAGGAGTGTGTCAGCAGCAATGAGTAATTACAGAGAAACATCACTTGCAAAATAGGTGCTCAGCTAGCACTTGCTTGTAGAATGGAGAACTTCTAGTAAACTTCAGCTTGAAATCTCAGTGCATGTGATCTTCTGCCCCAACATTACTGGGGCATCAGTGTTTGAATGTCTTTTTTCCCAATCACAGGGCAGTGAGTTCTTTCAGAAGTATTCTGTTTGCCTTGTATACACTGGTTACTTCTTAAAGGGTTACTGATTATCTCCACGCTGCCCTTGTTTTTTGAGTGTTTCTGGATATTGTTAGTCCGGCCTCTGTTTGCTCAATAAAGAAGATAAATGACTAAATCCCGTGCCTTTGTGAATTACTGACGGTGAAGAGATATCTCACAATAACTACATTAATGGCCTTATAAAGGCAGGGAGAATTCTTCCTATAACACTTCTCCCTTCTCGTTTATGGAAGTCTTAACATGGCCAGCTCTGAAGCAGTTTTTTCTATTTCCCCAAGTTTTCCAGCTTTACTACTTTTATTTCAACTCAGGAAAATAAGCATTTTCATCTTTAAAAACAACAGTGATTGTACAGTTGGGAACTGTGTGCCTATTATGTATTCTCTCATTTGCTAATCTCTACCTCTGTTGTTTCTGCTTGTGTACTTGCATTCTGTATTAAGCTGCAGAAGATAGTAATCTCATCTCAGGTTTTGATGTCCCTGAGGGCTCGGACAAGGTGGCAGAAGATGAGTTTGACCCTATTCCTGTATTGATAACCAAAAACCCACAAGGTAAGAAAGAGAGGATGGGGAAAAGAGAAGAGTTTGACATCAGCTCTCTTCAAAATAGTAATGTACCTAGTCTACAAGATGTGTGTGGGGGAGGAAGCATCAACATTTAACGAAGGAAATTGGGGGTAATAACAATCATTATGGGCTGGACCAGTGTAGATAGATGGAGACACAGGTAAAGGTACTAATATAGGTATCTTAAAGCATGACCATGGTGTTTATTTAGAGAGAAGAAAAGTAATATTTGACTAAAAGTAATAGTTTGACTAAAAGCTGGTTTTTACAAAGTGTCAAGCTAAAAATAAAGTGATCTTCAGTCAATGGAAACCTGAAGATATATATATATAAAAAAAAACAACGCACAGGATATTTCTTATCATGATTAGAACAATCTGTAATAAATATTCTTCCCAAAGAGATTAACAATGGTACTTTGATATCATTTGCATCTTTTGGACATTTGTGGAGCATGCTTTTTCTTCTTTGTTGTTTTAAAATCATTTGACCATGCCGTAAAACACTGAATTGCCCTAAGACCATATATATATACATATATATATATGTATATATATATATACACACACATATATATATATACACACATATACACACATATATATACATATATATATATATATAGGTGTTATTTACATTTATTTATTTTCTACACTCAAAAACCCAAAGCTGTTTTGTTTTTTTTTTAACATCTTTATTGGAGTATAATTGCTTTACAGTGTTGTGTTAGTTTCCGCTGTATAACAAAGTGAATCAGCTATACTTATACACATATTCCCATATCCCCTCCCTCTTGCATCTCCCTCCCACCCTCCCTATTCCACCCCCCATCTATATATTTTTAAAGCATGTTTTTATTACAGTAGTCTTAATAACCAATTCCTCCCCAAATCAGAAATTACGGATTTTTACTTTACAGGGAAATGAGTTGATGTTATCAGGAAGTTAGTGTACAGCCAGCAGTTCTCAGGCAGAATAGATATTCATTTGAAAATAGCATCCTCTTTGCAAGGTCTCCTGCCTACAGTAGGGTATGCACACAGTGCTTGAACGTTTGGTGGGAGGTGGTGGATCGCTAATTTATATGTTTAAAAATTAACATCTAAGAGTTTGCAAAATGTAAATTGTTGTTTCTCTAGGGTGTTTTGGTTTGTTGTGTTTCTCCTTTGCTTGTTCTGCACATCTAAACCCTAACCCTCTGTGTTTTGTACTGAATTCCTATCTCTCCACTTCCAGGTGGGCACTCTAGAAACAGCAGTGGGAGCTCTGAGTCCAGTCTTCCCAACCTAGCCAGGTCTTTACTGCTGGTGGATCAGCTCATAGACCTGTAGCCGTGACCCAGTAGCAGATGCAGTTCTGTAACCTTCATACCGTAATATACATTTTCATTACAGAGTTAAAAGAAAATGATTTTTTTTTAATCTGCAAATAAGGGGCTTCTAGCCCTAATCTCCTACTACCCCTTGCCTTCTCCCATAGAGATGATAAGGAAAGAAAATCACTTTGGCCCTCCAGATACTCCTTGGCCAGCTCCTCTCTGTTAGTTTGCTGTGTTTTCTCATTACCCTTCTTCAATAGCATTATCTTAAATCAAACGCTAGATGCCATGAGCTTCACCTCTGCTGGAATCGACTCCACCAAAAGCTTAACTGTAACTGAAACTAGTGAATTGACACCTTTGTCTCATTCTTGCTAGGAATGGCCTCCCAAATCAATCCTCCCAACCCCATCTCCTTTGGCCAGTTGCTGATGAATGTGTTTCTCTGTTTTTGCTTTTTATGCTGCTGCATTATCATGAGGACATGGCTTCTTCAGTTGGTCTTAACTCGAGGTAGTAACCTGGAGATGGGTGCGTGGTTTAAGAGAGGGTAAAACTGACTGATGGTGTATGTTTGGAAAGAGAAATTGAGCCCAGCTCTAGCCAACCAACTTTGACCTTGTTTGATCGTAGACTTAGCCAAGGGATTTCACACCCCATGCAACCTGCCCAGCATTCGTCCAGCACTCTGGCTTCCATTGAACCGTGATTTCTCAGATCTGGAGACATGACTGCAAGTACTTGAGATCCTTGGATAAAATGTGTACATTATATAAATTCCAAGTATTGCCATTCCTTTTCGTGTTAACTGTCCCAAGCCGGGATCTCAGAATTAGACCAAAACCAGACAGTGGTGGTAATATGATACCTTTTATTAGAAGACTTTTCATGGGGGGGTGGATGGGGGAGGGGAAGGAATTGTAGCAGAAACAGATGTATTTTTCTTGTGATTTTTATTTTGAATCAAATATTGTAAATTGTGTATAAATGAAGACGCTGAATAGTTCTGTTTCCACTTGGCGTTTCAAGTCCGATATCAGGTGTCTGTACAGGGTTTTGATCTCTTTCCCTTGTATAACTAACTACGCAGCAATCCTACAGTGTAACATATGGAATCATTTTGAGTAGACTTGTGTGTTGCTATAAGCTTTCAGCAGGTCCTCTGTCTTTGTAGAATAAGCATGTTGTTTATTTTCAGATAATCAGAAATAAGTATGCTGACACACTAGGCACAGTTTGACTTGGGCTACTTACCTTTCTTTCTCTCTGATGTTTGAATTGAAGGATGCAGCCAATGAAATATGTTCAGCTGGTTTTCCTTGGCATCCTAGATTTAAAAAAACAAAACAAACCATAGTTTCTCACTAACCTTAGAATATTGTTCATAAAATAAATAAAGGCCCCTGCACTGATGTGACAACATGACTCATGGTCACCCTCTGTATATGTCCTTACTCACCGAAGTATATTTTTTTCCTTACATGCAAAGCAGTTTTATAAAATCACCCTTTTGAAAGAGGTAGGCACAGAGAACCCCATTTGGTTCTCTTCCTTGAGTGCCATTTTCATGGTCAGAAGGGAACCTCTTAGTTGATCAGATTTGTACCAATAAAATTCCAGGTCCATTTGCTCATTTCCCTGTCTAGCACTTTTGTTTCTTCTTCTTCACGTTTGCTCTTTAAGGGGGAAAAAAAGAAAGCTGAACAGCAACAACCGCCTGCAAAACCCTGTACCTTGGAGGTCAAGCTTTGACCCCAGCAATGTGAGAACAGCCTTTGAAAGGTATCAGAGGAAAAGTCGGAACCTTTCAGTCTTCCTTCTGACTTTAAGTACTTCCGTGTCAGCTGAAACTAGACACACTAAGTACAGGCCTCTGTTAGGATAATGGGTCATTTCCAAAATTGAGGGAGGCACAACCTACCTGCTGAGGGTTAAAAAAGATATCCTCGGGCTTCCCTGGTGGCGCAGTGGTTGAGAGTCCGCCTGCCAATGCAGGGGACACGGGTTCGTGCCCCGGTCCGGGAAGATCCCACGTGCTGCGGAGCGGCTGGGCCCGTGAGACATGGCCGCTGAGCCTGCGCGTCCGGAGCCTGTGCTCCGCAACGGGAGAGGCCACAACAGTGAGAGGCCCGCGTACCGCAAAAAAAGAAAGATATCCTCGAAGAGCTCTCCATGATTGGAGAGCAGTGAAAATGGGACTTGGTTTGCCCCTTTATGGACAGGAATATTACTGACGATCAAAATGGTATTCTTTTTCCCAGACATAGAAAGAATATATAAACTAATGAAAGAGATGTTTATTTTTAAATAAGAATAATGTTTTATGCTTATGTTTTCCAGTTTGATTTTTTTTCATATATACATGTTAGAAATATATTGAAATATCTAGTTTCTCAATTTAATTGAAACCACGAAGAGTGCAGTTTAGAAATTAGGTAAGTGTCTCTAAATTATTCCTTTCATGTATTACCCGTAATCACATTGAGATATATTATCTAGTCATTTGGCTCAATAAAGCTTAATGGAGAATGTTAATGAAAATGAATAGACTAGAAACGAGAGAGACTGGGTGGAGGAAGCCTGAGGGGGATAATGACATGAAATTATCTTGAGTTTATTCTTTAGGAGTAGGGCTTCAAAGGAGAGAACTATTTTTCTGCTAAAGAAGACATGTGAGTGACTTGATAAAAGGGACCTCTTTAGTTTATAGCATCATCCTTGAGCTAAAAGGGTTTATTTGAGATGAGTATAGTATGCTAATAATTGATAGAACTTTGAAACTGTAGACTGAGCTACAAGAGGGACCTTAGAGATTATTCTAGTCCATCCACTTCATTTCACAGATGTGGGACCTAAAGCAGGTGGTGGGAGAAGAGACCCGGGCAGGACAGGCCACCTGGGAGCTTGTCCTGACCTTTGCCAGTCCCTGGCCTAGTGGGGCTTCAGCAGGGGCTTCACTTCTTAGGGCTGCTCCTTACTGACAATGATGGGTTTGGACTAGATGGTTTTTAAGGTTATAGAATTCTAGGGTTCTAAGTATTTATTATGATGCTTCAGGAGGACTATGAAGGAGTTATATAATCCTGATGTTCTTCAGTTATCTTCTGTAGCTCTTACTATTACTGTAGCAGTATTTACGTTTTAGAGAATTACAATGGGCTTTCACTAACCCGGGTTGCTCTCTCTCTTGGTTATCTGAAGAGACCCATAAATCATCACAGAGTGTTGGACATAGATTTCCCTTTTTTTTAATATTACACACACGTATCTACCTATTCCAACAAAACAGTATCAGAAGATTTCAATTTTTTTAAACTGTATAATTGAGGACCTGCCATTTAAAAATGGACAAATAACTGTAAGCATATGTTTCTGATTTGCTTTTATTCCGACTGTGCAAAAGTAGTACCTGTACCAGAAAACATCACAAATTGGATTTTTTTCCCTTTACAGCATTCAGATAACTAGATCACCAAATTCGAGTCCCAGTGTTTTTAAAAGCACAGCCCTCAGAGGAGATAAGCTTTAAATGGACACTTCTAAATGTGATTATAATTAATGATTTCTTTAGCAGACGTATCAGAGTTGTGATACCTAATTGAGTGTTCCCTTCAAAGGCATCTGGTTTTACTTGGGAAACATACTTATTCAAATGATGCTGCCACCA